AAAAAAAAAAAAAAACCCTTTGTTTTTAGAGGAAATTACTGTCTCACGGGTTTTTAAGATGTCATTTTCATAAATCCAAAATCAACTTTAATATTACATAAATCAAGTTTTAATTATACAATCTTGGATGCTAAAGTGCATTGGGAAAATTAAGGCAACTCCTATAGAGAAACTCCTAAAATCAAATTTGATATAGGTAGGAACTATTGATAAGAGGCTTTGGGGAAAATTAGATATGGATGTATCTTTCATGAGATACAGAAAATTATTTTTCGAATCATAATTTGCGAAAATTTTGAATTGTGAAGGTAGAAATTTGAGAGTTTTGGGAAGTGATGATAATCAATATATATGTATATCAGAAGCTCGTGCGTTTGTGCTTTGTTGAACATATGTTTTGCATGCAGTCTAATCCCAAACTCTCAATATAGAGGTGTAAACTTTTGATAAATCTAGTCAAGATTCAGTAGAACCGTGAAATTTGGACTTAAAATATTGAACTAAATGTTTGGTAAGGCTTAAAATCCCCCACTCCCCTCCAAAAGAAAAAAAAACCCTTTGTTTTTAGAGAAAATTACAGTCTCATAGGTTTTTAAGATGTTATTTTCATAAATCCAAAATCGACTTTAATAATACATAAATCAGGTTTTAATTAATGGTTTTTAAATTACTTTTTAATTTAAATCAATCGTACACAATTTCAAACCCTAATTATTTCATTTTCTCTCCCCTCTCTCTCTCTCTATCCCTGTCGCCGCCACCACCTCGCCGGTACCTAAGCCGACGATCGATAGTTGCAACATGGTGCGGGACAGCCCCCATTGCACCACCACCAACCCTCATCTCTATCACAACACAAACACAACCCCCATAAAAGAAATCCCCAAATTCGCCTCCTCACTATCAACAATCACCACCACCAACAACAATCAACACAAGAAAATAGGTGAGATAGAACACCTGCAGCGCAGTCGTACCTCAACACACAGATCTGAAAGTTCATCATCTTGAACAGAAGAAGCGACAGTGGTTCTATGTGCGGAAAGAGAGAGACAGCAGCACCTTCTCTTATATTCTTAATGAAAAACAGTTCATACAGTAAATTTCTCTTTCTTCCATATTTATCTTCTCTTGCTTTCTATTTAGAACAAGAGCCGTGAATATAATTTTCCCACTATTCACTTATTTTTTCCTGCTTTTGTTTTCTTTCCACTCTGAACCAATCATTCTGTAAAATTTTGATTAACATGGAAATGTGCTTTCTGAAGCTCATGAGATCAGGATTACCAGACAAGAAATGGGAATAATTGTTGATTGGTTTGCCCACCTTTATTCTCTTCTTTTCTTGGCTTCTGTTTGTGATGCTAAAATTGGCATCACATACTATGAGATATACTGTTTTGTTAAAGTATTGATTGTGACCAATACTTGGTTAATTTTTGACAAATTAATAGTGTGTGACCTAAAAGTTGTGACTGTGACTCACAATTTATTGAGTTATAATCGAGTTGTGACCAATAAAAGTAATTTGTGACCTATAATTTGATGTTTTGTGACCATAAAATAAGTCGTGAATTATAAATTTTGTAATTAGTGACCGATGAACAAATTGTGACTTTTAAATTTTTAATTTGTGACCGATGGACGAACTGTGACCTATAAAATTTTTGAATTGTGACCAAATTACATAGATCAGTGACATTTATATATTTATTAATAAAATATATAATTAATTAATTAAATCATAAATAAATTTTAATGAAAACCTGATTTTTGAAATTTGAAACTCTATATTTAATTTTGAAATGGTTATACTTAAAAACATGGTTTATGTATTTTTCTCTTATTTTTATGCAGAACTACTCGGGTCGGAGTATTTGGGAAATTTTATAAAAGAAAAATCCAGTATTGTTGAAGAATGCAAAGGATAAGTTCAAATTTTACGTGCATAACACCAGAGGAATGGGCTGGCTCTTATCATCCATTTGGTAAGCCTGCTTCAGATACTACACTATGTGTCATGGATTGCAGCTTTATTAAAGCCCCGTGACCCTATCACAGCCACAGTCTGCCCAATTTCGGTCGTATATTGTAATAGTTTATTTAAATTATAAAATAGATAGAAATTAGAAAAGTTTGGTATGATTTTTCAACATTTAAACGTCTACTCCCGTTCCGAAGTCTATTATAGGGGGTATTAGTCTTTCAAAAATCTTTCAAGCTTTCTAGTGTTCGCCCCCTGCACTAGCCATTGTAATTTCCTGCTTTCT